CAAATTCTAAGGGTGCATTCCAATGCATTAGCCCCTTAGAATAAAAAAACTGCAAGTTTGAAATTCCATATCTCCGACCCTTAGAATAAAAAAACTGCAAGTTTGAAATTCCATATCTCCGAATTAAAGCATTTTTCGATGTTGTGACTTGTGAGTGCTCAAATCGGTATTTGCAGGCCATGGCCACCAATTTGGCTATCTCAACTCAAAACTAATGTTAAGGTGGGATGGTCACTTTAACCCTCGCCGGCACAGGTCATTTTGCGTCCTTCGACGGCACAAGGGGGTACGACCCTGATCGCGTTTGGCCCCTGATCGAGCTAGAGCTTCGCGGAAAAAAACGAGCGTGTTGCCCGTCACGAGAGGAAGCCGATGATACTCAATTTTAAGGTCCCAGGTCATCGGGTGACCTTCCAGGTCAGGTCAATGACCCGAAAATCGGGAAAATCGGGACCTGTTAGAAAGTCGTAAAGTGTGGCTACTATGGGGTTTTCCGGGGTGCTGATCACGAATATCGTGTTAGTTTTGATCAGAGATGATGTCTTTAAGCATTTAAACCAGGTCGGGTCAGGTCAGGTCAGGTCAACCGGTAGGGGTCGTGACGGGTATTCGTAATACGTGTCAACCGCATCTGACAGCTTCGTAACTTTGCCCGCTGGATCCACAGAGATCATAGATCCGACCCCTAAATTTTGTCGAGAGATCCATTCGGATCATAGATCCAACCCCTGAATTTTGTCGAGAGATACACTCGGATCATAGATCCAACCCCTCTATTTTGTCGAGAGATCCACTGAGATCATAGATCCAGCTCTCGGATCCATGCACATGTCTGTATATGTTACAGGCAAAGTGAAAACTCGGGCATTTTGCAAAATGCCTAGGCAATTTGCAAAATGCCTGACCGGCCAGGCATTTTGCAAAATGCCCAGGCAGTTTGCAAACTGCCTGACCCACCAGGCATTTTGCAAACTGCCTGAAATATTTTCCCAGGCATTTTGCAAAATGCCTGACATCAAACTCGCACTAGCGACGATGTATAGGTAAGCATCATTTGTAACTGCCGCTTACAAAAGTTAATCGCTGTCAATGCGCACCAAGTGAGGGGACACTGCGTTCTCCGGGTAGCGCCGCCGAGTTCAGGTCACTGAGCCCCAGCGGCCGTCGGGTGCCGAGCACCGGGCGTGGTTTCGTGGGTAAACATGCGCTCGGTATAATGAGTGTACTGTTTCTAAGAGCTCTTGGTGGCTTTTTGAAAATACTATGGGTGGATATTGATCAGAAAAGAATACTCTTCCAATTTACGAAAACTTGATTGTTACATGTTTAGGTACCTACATTATCAATCGTCTCTGGCGGAACAGTTGCCCACCAGGGCAGAATACTGGACATCGCAGCTTTTATACACACGGCTACAACTCCGTATATACGAAAGGTACGGAGGCGGTGGCTCAAGTCCATTCAGCGTTGGCTCCATCTCGACAGAATTGACGCAAGACGTAGGTATACAGAGTGTCACGATCTTGATACGCGGTTGGCGCGGTCTTGTCCCTTCATGCCCCTCCTGAGTGCCGGGATGTAATTTGAACGGGTCCAGCACCAGGACATTTGGACCAGGGCACTCGGCGTCTAAATCGTCCATCCCCCGGTATCTGAAGATTTTACCCTGAAGCTGAAGCCGGTCAACCTCAGGCTGCAACCCTGATTTACCGTCATCCATAAGTGGTGCAGCTGGATTTCGACAAAACCCACCAAATCTGGACCATTCAGAACTAGAGATTCAGACTTTCCAATGATGAGGCCGTGAGGCGATATTAGCTGTTTTAACGACGGCCATCTGGTACACATTTGGTTCACATCTGGTGCAGATTAGGTGCATTTTGGTCAAATTAGGTTCAGTGTGTCTCTTAGTAGTATCAGCTAGGGTTGTACTAATTGCTTATATGCCTCCTTTGTCATATTATCAGAGAGCATCATCGGTTAAAACACTGAAATAAATTCATAAAATAAAGATTTTTGCTGTAAAAGAGATTAGGTGCAGATTTGGTCAAATTAGGTGCACTCACCGGATAGCCCGTCGTGAAAACAGCTATTAGAGCTATTCTTAGTCACTAACCGTCCCGACAAGCAGTTCTGGGCCAACAGCAGCTCAGAGGCGCTGCACCGTCGAGACGGTGAAGCACCCACTGGGCACTGGGGATTCTCGTTTGGGGCATGATGGGCTACAGAGACCTATTTGAGCTTCACCAGGTGCCGCCGGGACAGACCATGTGGCCGCTGATAACTTGTCAGCGAGGTGCTTGAGAACACTGACGCAACTACGATGCAATACATTTCGGGACACAAGTACAACATCCCGCAACAATTTCGTGACACCCTGTATTCGTGACCGTGGAATGTGTCACATGTGCCCACAACACATGCGAAATGTTGTGGGGTCAGTCACAGTGGAACGTTTATGATCAACGCCTGTAGTCAACAAAAACGGTGGAATATATGGAAACCCAGGCATTTTGCAAAATGCCTGGCGGGTCAGGCATTTTGTAAAATGCCTAGGCAGTTTGCAAAATGCCTGGTGGGTCAGGCAGTTTGCAAACTGCCTGGGCATTTTGCAAAATGCCTGGCGGGTCAGGCATTTTGCAAATTGCCTAGGCATTTTGCAAAATGCCCGAGTTTTCACTTTGCCTGTAACATATATATATATATATATATATATATATATATATATATATATATATATATATATATATATATATATATATATATATATATATATATATATATATATATATATATATATATATATATATATATATAAACTGCCCAATAAAAACTAAACAATAAACAAAACAAAACAATAACAAAACAATAAAAACTGCCCAATGTTACCAGTATAACTCCTTATGTATACGTTCCAGTTTGAAATTAATACCTTCAGGAATGTTCAAGCTATAGATCTTTCAAGATTGCAATACACGCCCAATTCTGCTAAAAAAAAAAACAGAAGTGTAGCGGCTTGTATCTCTGTAGCCCGAGGGCATATGACAAAATCCTTTCACCGTCAGAGGTTTCACCCAATAGGCAATAAGCATACCAAGTGTGACCTTTGTTTATTGTTAAATACCACGTAAATATACAGTGAAATGAGAATTATATAATCATTTTTAGTTATGCTGTACGAACTGGGCTGCATTACGCGTTCAAACAACTGGTCTTTGTTTCTTTCCAATGTTTTGTTTCCTCCCCACCATCATTTATTTTTCATAGCATGGCGCTTCATTCCCTCGTACTTTCTCGGATTTTTGAATTTTTTGAATTTTGACCCCAAAAAAAAAAAATCAAAAAATAGATTTTTTAAATATAATAACCTAAAAACAAAAAGTTTTTTTGAATTTCCAAAGAAGCGGTGTATATGTGATAATACCTACCGCCTTCTCCCCACATAGGATTTTGACCCCAAAAAATAAAAAATGGATTTTTTTTGATATAATAGCCTATAAAAACAAAAAGTTTTTTTTTTTTTTGAATTTCTAAAGCAATGGCGTACATGTGATAGTGCCTACCACCCTCTATCCACATACCAAATTTTAGATCGACACCTCTTTTCTTGGCCAATTTATAGCGAAAAAATTGTTCAAAATTGATGACGTAAGATTTTTAAACTCAATTTTGAGCAATTCTAGACCTTGTAGCGCAAAACAAAGACCACCATTGGACTCCCCGTGACGAGCTATTTTACCTGACCTTGACCTGACCTCCACCAGATAGTGACCTAAACCGTGCTTGATGGTTTTATAACCAATGGCATTGAGTTGGAAATAAAAAATTGGCCATAACACATGCATCGCACAACCTTGGTAAAGTTGGGTCATGTGCTGACTGCTGACCCTTGGTGACCTGACCTGTGACCTGACCTGGTGTTATCAGTGACCTCTTATAGCAACATATGTACGAGGCAACTGAAGCTCTATCGCTGATTTTCGACCAAATGCGTTTTCCTCGGTGGTATAGCGCATTCCCTAGAATACCCGTGAACGGTGAAACATTTTATCTTTGACCTGACCTGTGACGTCATTGGCGACCCCGAGGTAAATGAAGTTTATTTTTTTTCGACAAATTTGACAGGGCTATCGAACGCCGTTTGAATTTTACGGATCCGTCCAGGAGTTTTGGAGATACAGGGGGGGGGGGGGTAAAAATGCCCCCTCCTCCCACCGAGCGGAAGGTGGCCGGGAGGCCCACCGCCTGCCGCGTTAAAATTGGGTATCATCGGCTTCCTTTCGTCACGGGCAACACGCTCGTTTTTATCCCGCGAAGTTCTAGCTCGATCAGGGGCCAAACGGCAAAGGGGGGTCCAACCGACCCCCCCCCCCCCCCTACACGCCAGAAGCTGGCAAACGCTGCACACATGCGAAAGTTAAGCATGGTCGAAAGGCTTAATGTTGCATAGCATTTGACTCGGCTGTTCGACAGGAACATAATGATATTATTTTTCAAGCTTTTTAACCAACTATATGTTATACAACTCGGTGAACTTAGCACATCCTGCAAGTTTGAAGGATATCAGTCCAAAACTGTGAGTTAGACAGGTGCATAAGAAATATAAATTTGACCATGACCTTGTACCAGTTTTTCTGACCTGTTGACCTGACCCAAGGTCACCCGGATCTGAAATTTTAAGGTGATATGTAAAAAGGTTGTCCCATATGTTGTGCCAAATTTGGAGGCGCTGCGCGCCGCCGTTTTTACGCTATCTTTGAAAACCTTAGGGGGGTCGCATTGACCCCCCTGCCAGGGCGAGGGTTAACCCTGATACACTCCAACCTCGCCCTGCTCTCTGTGGCGCCCCGTGACATTTCCTCCTGTTCTCTGTGACGGCCATTGACACCCCTGCTCTCTGTGACGGCCGCCCGGACCGCTGACGGAGCGGTCCGGGCGACCTGTCACTCCTTGTGACGACTGAGCCGCACACGGCCGGATCTGTCACATCGCTGGGCCGGATCTGTCACATCGCTGGGCCGGATCTGTCACATGGCTGGGTATAAAGCGGCCTCGCGGCGGGACCGACGCCGCACCACCATGGCTCGATACGCGGGGACGGCGGCTGTGCTGGGCCTGGCGCTGCTGGTGGCCAGCGCCGCCCAGTCCGCAACCTCCACACAGCGTGAGTACCGAGTGTCCCAGCCCGGTCCCCTACACACAGCGTGATTACCGAGTGTCCCAGCCCGGTCCCCCCACACAGCGTGAGTACCTACCGAGTGTCCCAACCCACCCTACTCCACACAGCGTGAGTATCGAGTGTCCCAGCCCACCCTACTCCACACAGCGTGAGTACCGAGTGTCCCAGCCCGGTCCCCTCCACACAGCGTGAGTACCGAGTGTCCCAGCCCGGTCCCCTCCACACAGCGTGATTACCGAGTGTCCCAGCCCGGTCCCCCCACACAGCGTGAGTACCTACCGAGTGTCCCAACCCACCCTACTCCACACAGCGTGAGTACCGAGTGTCCCAGCCTACCCTACTCCACACAGCGTGAGTACCGAGTGTCCCAGCCCACCCTACTCCACACAGCGTGAGTACCGAGTGTCCCAGCCCGGCCCCTCCACACAGCGTGAGTACCGAGTGTCCCTGTCCGGTCTCTCCAAGCAGTGTGAGTGCACGGAAGTTGTGATTTACAGACTGAAGTTTTTCGAAAGTTGTTGCCAAAATATAGTAGGACTTTTTGAGCCTGCCCAAGCATTTTTAAAGCGCTTTCAGCCCAGCGTCAACCAGGCGGACGTATAAATAAACTGGGCTGACAATCCTAATGGACCTGGGTCAGTCCAGGTCCAATCCCAGTGACCCACTACACGGCGGCATGGTTGGCATCCAATCCCAGTTTGATTCGTGGAGCCTGGAGGTTCATGTACTCTCGATACAATACTTGTCCATTTATAACTACAATATAGAAGATAGTGAAGCCGACAAGGCGCCATTTTACGTTGCCAAAAAACGTGCTATGAAGGGTCATCGAGCCAATACAATTGGAATTGCGTCTAAACGGATGATCGGATCAAGATGCTGGCGGTACCATTCGACGCGTAATGCCTTGAGACAGGTGATGGTGCATGTCCCAGATCATGTAGTGTCACGTGGCGCGTGCCACGTGCCGAGAAATTTCCAAAGGGCAAAAATCTTTAAGCGACAATCAAAATCAAACGAAGGGCGGCACAGGTGCCAAACTCACAGGTCACATGTCCCAGTGTTCGACCACTAATATAATGGTATGCTCGGTATCAGGGGTGCGGAATGCACCTGCTAGGGGTGAAAAACATGTTTTGCGGAGGCATCCTCCGATTCCGGAAAACCTTGACCTAGGCACACCAAATTTGGCACACTGACACTACTGGATACGCGCTTTAACCCTCGCCCGTGCATGGGGGGGGGGGTGGTTGCCACCCCACGGCACCCAGCACCCCCAGGCAGTCTTTCTGCTCTGCATTTAACATTTTTAGAGCCAGGAGCCTGATTTTTCATATAGCTGCTCCTCTATCCTTTTTAATGTCCAGTGAAAATTTCAAGTTTCTGTGGTTTTTGGTTTCGGAGATATGACCTTGTTTTTCAGGTCATGTCATGACCCAAATGACCAATTATCAAAATCTTGCGTTGGCTATGGGCCTTGTGAGCTTTTGACACCTTGCTTTCGGCCTTTTTTGCCAGTCTTACCTCCCAGCTATCATGGAACATGCTGCTCGACGATGTTCAGATGTTAGGGTCAGGGTCAAGGTCAACCTAGGTCATCTAAAATAATTGCGTTTTAGTGTTTGCTGAACTTACTTTTCGTGAAGTTTTTTTTTACTGCTTTTTTTGGTAAAAGCTTCTCAGATCATGATTTCATGTAATATGGATGTTACAGGCAAAGTGAAAACTCGGGCATTTTGCAAAATGCCTAGGCAATTTGCAAAATGCCTGACTGGCTAGGCATTTTGCAAAATGGCCAGGCAATTTGCAAAATGCCTGACCGGCCAGGCATTTTGCAAAATGCCTAGGCAGTTTGCAAACTGCCTGGCCCACCAGGCATTTTGCAAACTGCCTGAAATTATTTTCTCAGGCAGTTTGCAAAATGCCTGACATCGAACTCACACCAGCGACGATGCGTAAGCATCATTGTAAGTGCCGCCAACAGGGGTTAATCACAAGCGATACGCACCAAGTGGGAGGACACACAGTGAGACATTCTCCGGGTAGCGCTGCCGAGTTCAATGTCACTGGGCCCCAGGCAGCGCGAGCGGCCCGGCCGCCGCGCCGGCTACCGGGCGCCCGGCGCGGTTTTATCGGTAAACACACGTTAAACCAGGTTATGTTTCTAATCTAAGAGCCTTGATAACTCTGGAAATACTTTGTGTGGATATTGATCAGAAAAGAATGTTCTTTCGTTGTATGGTAGCTTGGTTGGCGAGCCACACGTCTACATTATCAATGTATTGTGACAGACTGTGTAAAGATGAACATGCCTGTTGCATGTAAAACTTGTAATTTCTAAGCGTCTTTTTATTACAAAGGTGTGCACATGGGTCGTGGATGACCAAAAACTTGCTTTTCTGGAAAAGCGGAAAAGCCACATGTTCTTGTTGTCTATGGAATGTATCTCATCTCATTCCAATGCATTGCCATTGTTTTTTGAATGCTGTTTTTCCTGAAATGTACCAAAAATGGCTGATTTCTCAAGATATAGACCATTTCTTTCCACGTGACACGTGATTAACAAAAATGTTTATTGGATACGCTTGTCTCTGTTCTATCGATCGCTGGCAACCCCGTGTCGCTGCGGCCCTCTCTTGCCGTGATGTAAATAAGCACGTGAAACGAAGAATGTCGGGTCAATATTCGGCCGGTCGCCGCGTTTTTCCGCGCCCATGTTTCTCTGTGCCATGCTCCGCGCCCCATCGCAGCATTCCTACACACGAGCGGCTTCAACTCCGTATACGAAAATTATAGGGAGACGTTGGCTCAATCTACACCATTCAGTAGTGGTTCCATCTCGACGGAAGTGGCGCAAGACGTGGGTATATTCGTAAACATTGAATGTGTTTGGGGCTCAGGCACATGGGAGCGACATGGTCAACGCCTGTGGTAACAAAAACGGTAAAATAAATCAATCACAACTCAGGCATTTTGCAAAATGCCTGACCCGCCAGGCATTTTGTAAACTGCCTAGGCAGTTCGCAAAATGCCTGGTGGGTCAGGCAGTTTGCAAACTGCTTAGGCATTTCGCAAAATGCCTGGCGGTCAGACATTTTGCAAATTGCCTGGGCATTTTGCAAAATGCCTAGCCGGTCAGGCATTTTGCAAATTGCCTAGGCATTTTGCAAAATGCCCGAGTTTTCACTTTGCCTGTAACATGGACACATAAACAATCGGTGCACACATCAGTATACACACAGACACACACAGACATACAAACACATATCATTGACCTTGACCTAACTTGACCTGAAATGACCTCAGCAGCAAAAACCTGGTCGGGTTGTGTGACAAAGAGGTTGTAGCTGGCTTGGCACTAGAAAACGGCATCGTCATCGGTATATGATAAGCAGCGCACTTGATATCCAACGGTGACCCAAAAACAGCATCATTTTTTAGTTTGACCTGACCTGGAAGGTCAATGACTGACCTGAGAAGGTAAAACTGGGTATCATTGGATTTGTCTCTTCCCAAAGAATCTTTTGGTCTTTACTGCGAAGCTCTATCTCCAACAGGAACGAAATGGCGCGGGGGAGGGGGTGGCACCCCCCCCCCCCCCCATGTGCGTTCTAGGATGGGAAAATGGCATGTGCGGGCGAGGGTTAAGGTGCTGTACAAATAGGCGTGCTGAGGTACACGGTGCACGTGCAAACCTTTTGATGTTGCACTCTGTGTCACATATGCGGGCGGGCGCTGGCAAGCTCAAAGTGCCAAATTTACACAGGCCACCCAGAATGCATTCCAGCATAGTTATTGAGCATATCAATCTCCTGGTGGACCCCAAAGGTGCGCTCTGCAGGTGCAAAAAATAATCCGCGCCGGGCGGTGGGGATGCTTGGACACCCCATGTGGATTATGTAAATGTCTCGAAAACGGCGTTGTGGAGCGCCGTCGTTTTTTAGCACACCTTTTCATACATCCTTTTCACACATGCTGCGTAACTTTCAGACTTAGGTCACTCAGGGTTAGGTCATCAGGCTACGTCCAAGTGACCTTACCTTAGGAAAAATTATAATGCCCATCATAGCTATACAGACTAAACAATCGGTTTAAAACGTGCAGCGATTGATAAGAGCAACAGTATGTACGTAGAGTACCTCTACCTCGGAATTTAACCTTCCAGGCGGTGGGGGGGGGGGCATTTTTTTGCCCCCCCTTAGTTTTTTCGATATATCTCGAGAACCGCTCCGCCGATCGTCACCAAACTTTCAGTACCCTCTCGGGAGCAGCTAGCGCACATGGTGACCAAAATTTTTTCCAAATGCTATGATAGGTTGGCCGCTAATGACGTCAGAGTGACGTCATTTTTGCCATTTTCGACCCAAAAAAAGGTTTCGCGGGAAGAGCTGTCAGGCCTACAGCTTAAGAGATACAGAAAAATGTTCTGGACATAAAAGGTGTGGAATCATAAGAGCTACAAAACTGCTATTTCGGTTTTTCGAATATTTTGGATTTTGACCCCAAAAATTAAAAAAATATATTTTTTGAATATAATAGCCAAAAAATCCAAAAAGTTTTTTGAATTTCGAAAAAACCGAACTATATGTGATAGTCCTTACCGCCTTCTATCTACATACCAAATTTGAGATCGATACCTCTTTTTTGGCCAAGTTATAGCGAAAAAACTGTTCAAAATTGATGACGTCAAATTTTCAAACTCAATTTTTAGCAATTCCAGACCTCGTAGCACAAAAAAAAGACCACCATTAGACTCCCCGTGACGAGCTGCATCGAATCGATACCCATTTTATGCAAAAATATCAACTTTGAAATTTGACCTTTTTTGACCTGACCTTGACCTGACCTCCACCAGAAAGTGACCTCAACTGTACCTGATGGTCTTATAACCAACACCATTGAGTTGGAAATGAAAAACTGGCCATAAAACATGCATCACATAACCTTAGTAAAGTTGGGCTCATGTGGTGACCCTTGGTGACCTT